TGCTCAAAATAAATGAAATAAATTTTTTATCATCCCTTCCAGTTAGCTCTATGATAATATTTATTTGGGGTTTTAATCTTAAAATAAATATCCAGTTCTACTTGTACATTGTCTTCCACAAGTTATATCAATATTCTAAAAAGTTTACTGGGCTCGTGCCTTAAAATAACTACTCCTGGCACCTTAAGGGAGGAAAAACCATCCCTAAACACAAAACCCCATCCCCAAAGATGCCTTACTATATTAAAAGCTATGAAAGTCCATTCATTGCTTTTGTTATGTTATCTCTGGGACCATTAGACCTTATAACGGGGACTCCATAAACTAAATCACTTGGCTTAAAATGCACATAACTTCTCGATATTTCCCTAAGCTCCCACCTAATGGACTGAGAAGAAAATAGGCCATCAAGGAGTTTTATCTCATTGCTCAATAGACAAAATTCTAAGAAAACAATGGGTTGTTCCCCAGATGTTTTGTAAGATTCTTTGGAGAGAAATACAACAGAGGATCATTAATTAAGCTTTTATTCATTCAACAAGTATTTACTAAATGCCTAAAATAATCCAGGGAATGTGCTGCGGGCTGGACACTCTGAGTCAGAGTCCGAGGTCCTCCTCTCAAGAGGCTGCAGTCTAGGGGCGGAGACTGGAAACACGCAGTCCATGACAGAATCCTGAGAGGAGAGGTCCCTGGGGAGGGGTGCTCACTGGGATAAATGAGAGCTGGGCAGATGTCATGAAGGCCTTACCTCATAGATTGATGACACTTGAACTCAATTCTGTAGGCCACGTGAGAATTAACCAGGTACAGTGTGATCTCACTCACCCAGCTATAGCTCTTCAAAATGGGTGAATCCTTTCAGAAAGTTTGATTCCAGCTGAAGGTTCTGTGTCCCAGAGATTCCCAGCAAGGAATTCACAGACATTTTTCCTTTAATCAAACTTTGTGTTTGCCCTTTAACCTTCTAAAAAGTTACTGCCAAAATGATTAACTAAACTTTCCCTTATTAGTATTCTTCTTTTGAACATCTTTTGTTCACAATACGAGTGTGGTTAAGATATATTTTAAAATATGAGGTCCCGCACCAGGAAATTTCTGCAAGTCCTTGTGAAAATATTTCTTTTGCCTTTCACGTTACGCAAGTTGGCTAGATAAACAATTTTGTGAGAATTATGTCCAACCAACCTCATTTTATTAAATTCCTTTACTTTTGCAAAGTCTGAGAATCAAGATTTAATTCCACTTTGATCTATATTGTTTTAATTCTTATAGTCAAATTTTTCCTAGATGCTTGGAGTATTCTTTTTTCGTGAAAGTTACGTGAAATAATTTTGCGTATCTTGAAAATTTGAACTAGGAGCCTATGCTATTTGTTTCTTTGAGTTTAGAGATTTCAAAAGCTTGTATTTATCTTGAAGTATTAATAAACATCTTTTTTCTCACAATTAATAAATTTAATACTACTTTGTGATTTCTAAGTAGTATTTTAATTATTTGAGAGCGTAACTCATTTTTCATGGTGTTTATATCATTTGTCCATATATTTGAGGACTGATTTTAGATATTACTTGAATACGATCTGAGAATTTTCTGTTTCTGTTATATTTCATATTTTTTTCTTGATTCTTCATTTTAGACTCAATTTATAATGCTATTTTTTGTTGTTTGAGGATTTTCTGTTTTTCTCTCCAAATATTTGTATGAAGTTTCTCTGAAGTTCATTTCACTCTGCATATGCTTCTGAAGGTTCTTTTAAATGATTTTATTTTCAAATTTCTTCCAAACTAATTTTGATAGATTCATAAACAAACCAGCTATGTTAATTTCAGGAAATAATTTAGGGTCAATTTCTGAACTGAAATTTGTAACAAAGTAGTAAGAATTTTTTCAATCCTCCATTATAAAATCTATAAAACTAACTTCTATGTATATATATAAGTATATATATGTGTGTGTGTATATAAATACTTATATGTACACATATGCTACACTGCGGAAATACACGTTTAAGATAATGCACACACATACCCACATAGAGAGCACTCCTGTGTGGGTATGCGTGTTTGTGGCTTTGTACGTGTGTGTGTATCTTCAGATGTTGAAATATATTTGAAACCTCCAGAAATTAAGGTACTTTGTGACTTTTGACAAGTTATTTAATCATTCTGAGCCTTAATTTCTCTATCTGGAAAATAGACTAATGATATATGATATTCGAGTTATTAGAAGGATTAGTGTTAGAGAACCTTTCACAGTCACCGCAAATATTTGATGCTTGGTATGTGGCGCTTACTCTTCACGGCCAGTTAGCGTATTTGGATGACAGAAAGAGCTGTGTTTCCAGATTATGGAAATCTAGATAGAAAGGCTGTTTCTTAATGAGCCATTTTTTTTAGGAATAGCGACTCAAACCACTTATTAAGGTCTAAGCACGTTAACCTCGTGGAGAAAATCTAGGGAAAGATATTGTTACAGTTCTAACCAAGCGCTCTTATTTTGCTCAGTAATTAACAGCATCCTTTTTGATGAGCTCTCTTTAAATTACACTTTGTTTTCTTGTGAAAAACTATACTACCAAATCCCTGTCTGGACTTATTTTTGTCTTTACCATAAACATGTATTCATAGTTACACATATATTGACGTCTTTAAAAAACATTTTAAACTAACATCTATTACTTTGAAATGTGCTTTTTTTTTTCCGCTTAAAATGAAACTTGATACCTATCTGGGTCACACATATAGTCTTACTTTACCATAATTGAAACCATATTCCTACCAAATATAGATTGAGAGAAAGGGAGTGGGGAGAGAAAGACAGGGAGGGAGAAGGAGAATGGGGATGCTACGCTGACTTACGAGGGCCAGCACTGTAAGGTGGGGCTGCAGCCGCCTGCCTCCTGGACCAGCACTTGATCCATTATGGCGCCTTATTTTGAAAAGAGAGAAGAATCGATCCATAGTAAATCATTTAAAATCGTGTCTTCCTAATATTAATACCAACATTTGCTTTTACAATACGGTTCCCCCCTTGCATTTCAAGTGCAGCCACCAACTTTGTAGATAAGTGGAGTGAGCAGCTTCTGCAATAGCTTAATTTGACTGGGGTTTTTTTGTAAGTATAATTGGAGGGTTGATGAGATATTTTCTGAACAAAATATTGTCCATGGTTCTCAAATTCTCCAAATTTATTTAACTCCTTAAGGGCCTCCTTAATATTAAAGCTATTCTTATTATGCAAGTGTGAAAATTAATGCCTTGTAAGCAGATTATTTAGTCAAGTTCACCGTCTCTGGGCTGAGGCCTGAAGGGAAAGGAAGATTTTCTTCCGAGGAACAGAAAAGTTACATTCGTCACTTTAGACGAACATATTTTATGGTTAGAGTTAAGTGAAATTCCAACAATGGCCACACAGAAATTATGTTCAGCTGTGAGTAATAGAAAACCAAAGGGCACTGATTTACGGAAATTGGGGGATTTATTTACATTACATAATGAGGAGTCACAAGACAGGTGGTTTGAAGCTGTCAGGGTGACACCTCTGAGATTCTCCTTGCCTTTTCCTCGTAGTCGTGAGACGGTTGATGCAGATGCAACAGCATGTCCCTCCCTGTTCTAGGCAGCAAGGAAGGGGGAGTGGTGTTCACATTTGGAAAGCAAACATTCTCCCAATGTTTTATAAAAAAGAATGATGTCACATGTAAGCGTGTCTGGGAAATGTAGTTTTTAAACTGGTTCATGCAACACCCAATAAAATTGTGGTTTTGTTAGTAAAGGAAACAGAAAATTCATATTGGGTAGGCAATCAGCAGCCCTTGCAATACAGTTATTTCACACAATGCATTTCTTTTCACGACTTTTATTCTATGCTAAGAAGTGCCTGTTAACTCTATTTAAAAAGAGAATATAAATGTATATATTGGAATACACATTTCCCCTACCTGCTTTCTTCCCCTATGTAATTGGTCAAAACCATCAGGAGTCTTACAAAATTTTATCATCTTTTACCATTACGTAGTACTTACTACAATGTTGTCTTCATACGGCTTATCTGATAGCTATTAAAAAACTATGTTTCTGCAGTGCCCTTGCCACGCAGTTTAGATGTTTAATAAGCAGTGATACTGTACCACCCAGAAAGGAATCTATTTTAAGCTCAGACATCCAAGCAAACATAACCCTTGCTTCAAAGAAGACTGAAAATCGCTCTCCTGTAGTCATCGTGTACAGATGACAACCAAGAAAGGCCTCCTAATAAGAACTCAGTTTAGGAAAAATCAGAGAAGGCAAGCAGTTGGCATGCCTTAGAGCATTAAAAAAAGACGCACAATTGTCCCTGAAAATCAATTTGTAAAGTTGCTATGTACAGCAAGTTAATAAGCAAAGTGTGAGAAAAGATCTTTTCATAGCACTTGAATAATTTTCTCCCATTCTATAAAGTAATGCAGACAGTTGAGAAACAGAGAGACACCATCCACTTCTCATGCCCTGCTTCTCCAAAAGGACAGGCTTCAGAAGAACTAGAAGTGATTTAAGTTGCATTCAAAATGCTCACAAATGAATACCACTGAATTAATAGTAGGTATATATGGTTGCTTACATAAAACAGGCAGAATGGCCTTTTTGAGGGGAGGGTAAAATTTTTAAAATGCTCAAGGGCTATTCTGGTGCTATTTTTCTCACATCTTAAATTTGTTAATCGTGATGTGTTACCGTGGTTCTTTCCTGGAATCTATCAGTTTTATAAGAGGATTGGTTACGATAAATAATTGTCAGGAAAGAATGCCGCAAATGTGTAGACATGCCTTTGTTATTCTTGGTATTCCAGTAGATTAGTTGTGAATGTCTCGGTAGTACCTTAAAGTCATTGTCCTTGCGTAAGCTAAAGGAATCTGCTTAAAGCAACACAAATGTAGCATGTGTGGTAGTCGTATCCGTAGCCAAGAGCCTGGGAAATAAAGTCGACAGTGTATCTTTTTTGGTTTTGTTTTGTTTCAGTCATTGCAAACGATGGATTTTATATAATACTGAAAGGCCTAGCTAGACCTCAAACACGGGTATATAAAAGTCTGGTGGAAGAAAATGAGTCAAAAGCCTCCTTCATAGCTCAGAATTACCACAGCTTTGTTTTTGATGAAGACTTCAAAAACTCTCTCCTTGCTGGGCTGCGCATACCTTCGTGTGACTCAATGGTAAGAAATGAATATTTGCTTTTTCCATAAGCACTAAAGTATCATTATTGTAACATTTTCTCTCTTCCAGATATTTAAATCCAGATATCTTTAGTAGTTCTGAAATATTCAGGATAATATATGTTTTAAAAATAAAAATTATGCTATTACTATTGAACTTGAAATGTGTTGAAAAATTTTAACGAGGGATGCCTTCAACAACACGCTGCCCACTCCCAGGGGTGGTGTAGGGCATTTGATAACTGAGACAAGGCCAATGTGGTTGAATCACTGAATGAGGAATGGGGGTAGTTGTGCTAAGGGAGATCGAGCAGGTGATTCAAGGAAAGGGAGATAGAAGACAGATCACTCAGGGCCCTTTAAATCAAGTTAAGAATGTGTGCTTCTCCTGTTTACATCCAGAGCAAGGCTAAGGCAGTTAAGCAGTTGATTCCATCACCAGCAGAAAGTCTTATTTAAAGAAACTCCTTTGCTTATATGTCATATTTCAAGACTATCAACAGGTCGAGAAATAAAAGCTCAATGTCTTTCTTTATCTCTGGGTACTCCACATGGGGGTCGGATCTGGTTTGACTAGAATTGTGGCTAAAAAAACAGATTTTGATTCAGAGTGGTCAAATGTTCAGATTAGAAAAGAGTCAAAGGAACCAATTAAAGCCAAATTATTTCACACTATGAATTGAAGTCAGGACAACCTAGAACATTCTCAAGTTCAAGAAGAATGAGGATGGATATAACCAAGAAAAGAAAAACAAGGATAAAAAATGAAACAAGAACATAAAAGTATATTGTCAATCACACACACATAGGTAATGTTTCTAAATCTTCTTTCCTGATAGGGATGGAAAATAATGCCACACACCATGTACCTGATACCATTTCAATCTGCTTTAGAAAAAACTATCACAGTTAGCACAGCAGCTGTAATTAGGGTGGCTACTTGGTTGACTTTGAAGTAGCCAACCGCAATCTTCCAGGATCTACTTGTTTGTTTTTTGAGAGAAAAATTCATGAATTAAATGGGAGTATGATGGGACCACCACTTCTGAATCCTGCGTTAGGTCTGTGATGACCATACTAATCTCTGTCATTCTACCTGGGATGTAGTACTGTTTGGTTTTTTTCCCCAGCTTTATTGAGGGATAATTAACAAATAAAAATTGTATGTATTTAAGATGTATGTTTTCATGTTTTGATATATGTATACCTTGTGAAATGATCACCACAATCAAGCTAATTAACATATCCATCATCTCACATAGTTAGCATTTTTGTGTGTGTGGTGAGAGCACTAAAGTTCTTCCCTCTTAGCAAATTTCAAGTGTACAATTCAGTATTGTTGACTGTGCTCACTATGCTACCTGTTAGATCTCCAGGTCTTACCTTGCATAACTGAAAACTTTGTGCCCTTTGACCAATAGCTCTCCATTTCCACAACTGGCAGGATTTCCTTCTTTTAAAGGCTGAACAATATCCCATTGCATATATATAACACATTTTCTTTACCCATTCATCCATGAATAGACATTTAAGTTGTTTCCCTGTCTTGACTATTGTGAATAATGCTGCAATGAATATGGGAGTGCAGAAATCTTGAGATACTGATTTCGTGTCTTTGGGTGTATACCCAGGAGAGGGACTGCTGGATTATATAGTAGTCCTATTTTTAATTTCTTGAAGAAAATCCATACTGTTTTCAATAATGGCTGTACCAATTTACGTTCCCACCGTGTACAAGGATTCTCTTTCTTCCATATCTTTGCCGACACTTAACTTTCATCTTTTTTATAACATTCATTCTACCATATGCGTGAGGTGATGTCTCTGTGGTTTTGATTCGTGTTTCCCTTATGATTATGATGCTGAACGCCTTTTCATATACCTTTGGGCCATTTGCATATCTTCTTTTGAGAAAATGTTTACTTAGGTTCTTTTCCCATCTTTTAATGGGATTATTTGTTTCTTTGCTATTGCGTTGTGTGAGCTCCTCATATATTTTGAATATTAACCTCATCAGATATACGGTTTGCAAATATTTTCTCTCATTCCATGGGTTGCCGTTCACTCTGTTGATTGTTTCCTTTGCTCAGCAGAAGCTTTTTGGTTTGACACAATCTTGCTTGTCTATTTTTGCTTTTGTTGCCTATGCTTTTGTTGTCACATCCAAAAAATCATTGGCCAGATCAACATCAGGAAGCTTTTTCTCTAATTTTCTTCTAGGAGTCTTATGTTTTCAGGTCTGACATTTAAGTCTTTAATCCATTTTGAGATGGTTTTTATAAATGGTGTGAGATAAGGGTCCGTGTTCATTGTTCTGCATGTGGATATCTAGTTTTCTGCCGTTCCATAGGCGCTTTTTCATTTTCTTGATGGTTTCTTCTGTTGTGGAGAAGGTTTTCAGTTTGATGTAGTCCCTCTTGTTTAGTTTTCCTTTTGTTGCTTGTGCTTTTGGTGTTGTATGTCAAGGAGCTTCTTTCCCGTGTTTTCTTCTAGTTTTACCATATCAGATCTTATGTTTAAGTCTTTAATCCATTTCAAGTTTATTTTTGTGAGTGGTATAAGGTAAGGGTCTAATTTCACTTTTCTTGTGGTTATCCAGTCTTCCCAGCACTATTTGTTGAAGAGACTATCCTATCCCCATTGAGTGTTCTTGTCAAATGTTAGGTGACTGTATATGTGGGGGTTTATTTGAGATCTCTGTTCTGTTCCATTGGTCTATGTGTCCATTTTTATACCTGTACCATACTGTTTTAATTATTATAGCTGTGTAGTATAGTTTGAAATCAGGAAGTGTATCTACAGCTTTGTTCTTCTTTCTCAGAATTGCTTTGTCTATTCAGGGTCTTTAGTGGTTCTGTACAAATCTTAAGATGTTTTTATTTCTGTGAAAAATGCTGTTGGAATTTTGATAGGGATCGCATTGAATCTATGTAGGGCTTTGAGTAGTATTGACATATTGATATTAATTGCCCAATCCATGAACATGAGATACTTTCCCATTTGTTTGTGTCTTCTTAAATTTCTTTCATCAAAGTCTTACAGTTTTTGTTGTTCAGAGCTTTCACTTCCTTGGTTAAATTTATTCCTAAGTATTTTATTGTTTTTGATGCTATCATGAATGGGATGGTTTTCTTTATTTCTTTTTCAGATGTTTTATTGTTTTGTTTGTTTTTGTTTGTTTTGTTGTCAGTATATATTTTTTCCAATCTATGAACACAGGATGTCTCCATTTATCTGTGTCTTCTTTAATTTCCTTCATCAGTGTTTTATAATTTTCAGTGTACATGTCTTTCATCTCTTTGGTTAAGTTTCTTCCTAAATGTTTTATTATATTTTTTATTGGTCTTATAAATGCAATTGTTTTCTTAATTTCCTTTTTGTAGTTTGTTCCTTGTGTATAGAAAAGCCACTGATTTTGTATGTGGCAAAATTTGTATTCCTGGATTCATTTATTATTTCTAACAGTTTTTGGTGGAGTCTTTGGGGTTTTGTACATATGGGATCACATGTGTACATCTGAGAACAGAAATTTTATTTCCTCTCTTCCAATATGGATGTGGTTTCTTTCTTTCTTTTCTCCTCCTCCCCTTCCTCTTCCTTCTTCTTCCTTTGCTTCCTCCTCCTCCTCCTCCTTCTCTTTCTTCTTTCTCCAATTGCTCTGTCTGGGACTTTAGTACCATGTTGAATAGAAGTGGCAAGAGCATGCATCCTTGCCTTGTACTGGATCTTCGAGAAAAAGCTTTCAGTTTTTCCTCCATTGGTTATGATGTTGGCTGTGGGCTTTTCATAATAGCCTGTACTGTGTTGAGGTACACTCCTTCTACAGCTATTTTGTTGAGTGTTTATCATGAATGGGTGTTGAATTTTGTCAAATGCTTTTTCTGCATCAGTTGAGATGATCATGTAGTTTTTATCTTTGTTAATGTGGTGCATCGCATTGGTTAATTTACAAATACTGAACATTCTTGCATCCCAGGAATAGATCCAACTTGGTCATGGTGTATAATTCTTTTAGCATACTGTTGAATTCAGTTTGTTAGCATTTTATTGAGTATTTTTGTATCTTCGTTCCTCAGAGATATTGGACTACAGTTTTCTTGTGGTTTCGTTGTCTGGCTTTAGTGTCGGGGTGAGATTGGCCTCACAAAATGACTTTGGAAGTGCTCCCTCTCCTACTTTTTGGAAGAGTTTAACAATGATTAGTATTGATTCTTCTTTGAATATTTGGTAGAATTTACTTGTGAAGTCATTCTCTCCTAGGCTTTTCTTTGCTGGGAGATTTTTTATTACTGATTCATTTTTCTTATTTGCTATTCATCTGCTCAGGCTTCTAGTTTTTCTTGATTTACTTTTCGTAGGATGTATCTTTCTAGGAATTTATCCGTTTCTTCTAGGTTATCCAATTTGTTGGTATATAATTGTTCATATTAGTCTCTCATGATCCTTTTTATTTCTGACCCATCTGTTCTAATGTCTCCTCTTTCATTTCTGATTTTATCTATTTGAGACTTCTTTTTTTCTTAGACTAAGAGTTTGTCGATTTTATCTTTTTCAAAAAAACCCTCAGTTTTATTAATTTTTTTCTGTTGTTTTTCTGTTCTTTATGTGACTTATTTCTGTTCTAATCTTTATTATTTTCTTCCTTCTGCTAAATTTGTGCTTCATTTATTCTTTTTCTAGTTCTTTTAGGTGTAAAGTTAGTTTACATGAAATTTTCTTTTTTAGTATAGGCATTTACCACTATAAACTTCCCTCTTATGACTGCTTTTACTACATCCCAAAGTTTGGTATGCGTGTTTCTTTTTTTCTTGTCTTGAGATATTTTTTAAATTGCCTCTTGATTTCTTCTTTGAGTCAATGGTTGGTCAAGAGTGTGTTGTTTAGTTTCCACATATTTGTGAATTTTCCCATTTTCTTCTTGTTACATATTGTTGTTGGAAAATATACTTGGCGTGATTTTGATCTTCTTAAGTTTGTGAGGACTTGTTTTGTGATCTAAC